ATTGTCTTTTAATGGTGTAAGCTGCCTCGGGTCCTTATTAAGAAGAAAGGCAGGATAAAAATATTTTAAATAAATAAATAAATGTTAGTCTGTGCAAGCATATCAGACAAAAAATAAAAAAAAGATTAAAATGTTGTGGCATTGCAAAGACTAACTGCTATATTTTACTGTGAATTTTTGTAGATCAAGTCCACCTCTACAGACTTGATCTACGAAATCCAATAAACAAACAAACAAACAAACAAACAAACAAACAAATAAATAAATAAATAAATAAATAAATAAATAAATAAATAAAAAAAACCTCACATTAAAATGTAGGAGTTAGGTGTCACAAAGTTTTTGTCTCCTGAGGTTTTGTGTGTGTTTGTTTCGTTTTGGGCTTTCTGTCAAAACTATCACTTGAAATGCATGATCCTTAAAAGCAAACGTCAATTAAGTTAAAGTATCTTTAATCAAATAGAATTGCACCGGACCCTTTTCAGTGATTGCTTCCAAATGGCGATTGGCACAGGATAGTTGTTAAGGTGTTATAGCAAAATAAAAGTTGTGTGGCTCCTTTAAGACACCCAGATTCCTCAGAAGAAAGGGGCTATATATCTCTGCTAAATAATCACCCCACACAATTCCTTGGAAGTGTGATGGTGAGGCAGCTTATTTTAAAAACAGATTAAGGTTTTATAAATGAACTGTTCAAACCTGGACTTGTTTCTCTCAAACAAGAAAATAGCTTGGCTTTGCAGAATGTAATTGGAGTGCGATGTTGAGAAAGACGAACACTTCCATGAATGTCCATATAGGACATGATGGCATCCTTCCACTGAAACAGGGTTGGTGGTGACACAGACGCCTCAAGCAGCACATGATCAGGAGGGGAGGGGTGCTCTCCATGGCAATGTGCCCTAAAGGGATTCCCTACTTAGCCTCCAAAGCCAGGCCCTTGTGGCCTTGGAAACCAGAAACATTAGATCAATTCTCCTTTCTCCTCTTTGCCCCACCCTCCTACTGCTCTCAGGATCCCTCCATGATGAACACAGCACCAAGGGTGTTAATCCTGCCCACTTGCACATGCCCAACACTGTCAAACAGCAGGTTAGTGCCAGTCACCAAGAAGATGAACGGAGAAATCTTTTTGGAAAATCCAATTAGGAGGTCCAAAACAAGGCTTGGCTATTTTGGACTGCTTAACCTACTTCACAGGGTTGTTGTGAGGGTGGGAGAAGAAAAGAGGGAGGAAAAGAAAGAGTGGTTGTTGTAGGTTTTTCAGGCTGTTTGGCCGTGTTCTGAGAACATGGCCAAACAACCCAAAAAACCTACAACCACCATCAGATCCCCGCCGTGAAAGCCTTCGAGAATACATAGAAAAGAAAGAGACCCAAACATATTGTCCTGAACCCAATGAATATAAATGGAATATGCATGCATACATGCATGCATGCATGCATGCATGCATGCATGCATGCATGCATGCATACATACATACATACATACATACATACATACATACATACATACATACATACATACATACATACATACATACATACATACATACATACATACATACATACATACATACTTGTACAGTCAAATACATCTGGAGGGCACTTGGTTGGGCATGGTTGCCCTACGCACATACACACATGCACAAACTTACACTTTTCTTAACAAGCTGCCTTCAACTTGTGAGGTGCTGTGTTGTGTTCTGTAGTTGTATGCGATAATATAGCACTGTGTTTGCCTGTATGAATTCATTGCTGCTGCACAGTCACTACCTAAGTTAATTTTGCTGTCTGAGGTAAAGAACTAAATGGTGCTTCCCCCTATTCTGTGTATAGGAAGCCAGTTGGACTGACAACTGAATCACACTTCAAAATGAGATGGAGTCCATTAGTTCACCTGAAATAACAAGCTAGTTTATAGTGCATCTCTGGCATACAGATGTGTGTTCTCTAGCAAAGGGAACAGCTGGGAGGCTGTCCTTGCCTTCTCTCTCCATCATCTGCCACGTGAGGTGATCACCTCATTTTCTGTAAGAGTAGAGCCAGCTAGGCTAGAATTTTTCAGACACGGCTCAGTGTTATTTTTCATCACTGAATAGAATGTAATGTTCCAAAGGAAGCTGCCTTCTGTCTGATCACGTGAATGAGGTTTCACAAATATTACAGAGACCAAAATTACCAGAATAATTAGAAGCAAATGAAATATGGATGCATTGCGTTTAAAAAGTTCATTAATTAACAGATTTTGTTCAACATGACAAAAAGACAGGGCGGGTACAAATAAGGCTTGAGTTTGACTAAATTCACTGTTAAATTTCATGGCCAGGATTGTGAAATATTTTTGTTGTTGTTGCTTTCCTACTATAAAGACCTATATTAATCAAGAATGACTAGTCCCACCTCTCAAATAAAAAGCAAACACACACACAGCCTTAATTTCATTTCTTGGGGAATAAGTGGACTGGAAATCAGCACTTTATGATTCTCTTTCAAAAATGGGAGCAGACTGAACCCTGCATGCAATGAGAATTGTCAAAGGACAAGACCAGCAAGGTGTGGCAGATGCACTGGGCAGAAGATGATGGAGGAAGCATCAAGGTACTGGAGGAGACAGTTATGTACCACACAGGTGTCCTACTCCATCCCCAAGCTAGCCGACTACCTTTGCTTCAGAGGAAGGTGCTGTTGAATCACTAGTGTTTAAGACTCTGGGTCTCAGAATGCCAGTGGAAATCACAGGAAATTCCTATGTTCCTTTGGATTTCCAAGCAGGGAGACAAATCTCAGAATTAACGGCATCAGAGAAGGAGATAGTTTGATTAATGTCCATGAGATGGCCTTCAAACCTGAACACTCCAATCCATCCATTCCCAGCTAGCACCACAGGTTACTGGATTTGCAAAAAACAAACAAACCACAATTTCTGTGTGAGATGCTCCAAATTATGAGTCCCTACACCTGCACCCACTGTCTCTGCAGTCTGTTCCTCTCACTCCTGCATTTTTGACATGCCAACTTTGGGCCCACTGTGCTGTTTGGAGCAAAGCAGGGAGTGGAGCATCAGCATCATGATTCATGAGCCTTATAGTTGCATAACTCCTGGCAGAAGTACTGCAAAACCTGAGAATTTTTTTTCTCTCATCCTAACCATTTTCTGCCACACCTGGCCTGTAACCTCACAATGGTTTGTCCTCTGGTTCAGGTTTGGCCCTCAGGTCTCAGCATAGGGGATACTCTAGATCTGGCAGTGCTACTAGCATCGAAGAAAGATTCAACTCTCAGTCCAGTTCGTTTTTGAAGGCAGAACAGAAGGGATTGCCCTTCGCCCCAGAAAGCAAATTACTTTCATCCAGTTGTGTAGCCTTTGTTACTTTCTTGTCACTCCGGACCTATTATTTTTTAAACACTGGAGAGAAAAATCTACAGTCTGCTCTACCTGCATAGGATATCTTATTTTTATTTATTTATTTGATTTGTATCCTGCCCATCTGGTCTATGCGACCACTCTGAGCGGATACCAGTATGATTAATACCCCTGTGTAAGGTAAAGAGTACTACATGGAATGAGTGGGGCAAAAACATGTGGCCCTTCTTACCACCCTCACAGAATGCTAATTGAATGAGATGTATGAATGAGTGTGAGTTCCACTGTGGGGCAAAGCTTCATGTTGTATACAAGCATGTGTTAAAAAAAAAAGAAGGTAGTCCAAATGGAGGGGTCACTGTTATCTGCTTTTGTCTTTTTACGGGCCCAAATCCTGTTGCATAGCTATGCAAATGGCACAAGTTTTGGAAACAAACTGTCCTTATTTAAGATATCACTGTAGACATTATCAGTAGCATACTGAGCTGTATGACTCAGCATGCAACTGTTAATGTCCATGACAATTCCTTAACTTAAGGCAATGTGCCTCCAAAAGTTACACTGTTTGTGCTACACTCGCCTATCTAGGTAAGAGGATTTGGGCCATTTTTTTAATTAAAATTTTATTTTGGATAGTTGCCTTGAGTACCATTTCTCATTCTGCCATCCTGCCTACAAATGAGGGCAGCAAAAGTTGTGTAAATCATCTTTCTTGTTCCTCTTCTTGCCCTCATTTTTTTAAGAGTTAAGGCCAAAAGAAACATGCTAAGAATATGAAAGCACAACACAGAGAGAGGGTTGTGTGGGGTGATTTTTTGTCACTGGAACATTACTCCATAAACTCAGGCATTGCAGTCCCTCAGAACATATTTAACTCAGGTAGATGACATAATTTCAGACTCCCCTGCATTTCTAAAACAATTATCTTAAGATGTCTTCGCTCAGACATGGATCTCCTGGGGTACCCTTCCTTGATTTAGTTCCCTTCAAAGTATCAGACTACAATCCCTATTGTCCCCAACAATGCTGGCTGAGGTGATAGGCATTGCAATATCAGGGAGGAGGGCATTGTAATATCAGGGATAAGGAGAGGCCCATGATATAAAAATGTCCTAGGAGCTGAAGTGGATGGAAACTAGAATTTAATTTTAATTTCTATCCAAAATTTTAACTAATTTGAGCTGTTGTTAATGTTTTGAGTAGCCATTTATTTTTTCAAATTCCCAACAGCAGTGGAACTATGACTCCTTTACTGTTCTAACATTCACAGGGGAACATGTGCAGACAAGTTTGGTTCAGACTATCCTAAGAATTAATATTACAAGAATTTTTGCAGCAATAGAAGCCCTAAATCCAACTGTTAGTCTCAAATGTATATAACTGTTTCCATTAATCCAATGGATCCACCTTTGTTGTGGCTACTAGTTAGAATTAGAGAATGTTGCTACATTAGGAACCTTTTGAAGACTTTAAAGTATGATGTGATGTTCTGGAGGTGCAAATAGAAATAGAGTACATTATGAGGCACCAAAAATGTTTCTAGGGCAACATCACTAAGGGAATGGAAGGAAAACCAATCATTGGGGACATGGGCAGGAAAAAGTGGTCAGCCTGATGCTTATGGAGTGACTCACCGGCAAAGATGCATCCCTTTCATCCCGAAACTCAGGCAGGGTCTCCAGGCAGAAGATCACAATGGAGATAAGAATGACCAACACTGAGATGACTGCAACGATGCGAGCAGCCTGGGAAGTTTCTGGATGCTCAAAAAGCAGCCACACTTGTTTGAGGAAGGCTCTGTCTGGCATCGGCTGGGCTTCTTCCTTAATGAAACCCTCGTCATCACGGAACTTAGTGAGAGCTTCATCTCCCAGCTGGTAGAACTTGAGTTCTTCCAAAAAAACATCAATAGGGATGTTGGCTGGTCGCCGGAGCCGTCCTCCAGACTGGTAGTAATATAGGATGGAGTCGAAACAGGGCCGGTTGCGGTCAAAAAAATATTCATTGCGCAGCGGGTCATAATAGTGCAAACGACGTCGTGGATCACCCAGGAGGGTATTGGGGAACTGGCGCAAGGTTTTTACTTGAGTCTCAAAGCGTAGGCCAGAAACATTGATTACCACCCTCTCACAGCAGTCCTTGCGGAGGTGCCCCTCATAAGGAACAATGGGTTCATCCTCCCCTCCTGGTAGCGGCAATAGTTTCTCCATGGCAGGGCTGGCAGCAGCTACAGGGATCTTGAGATGAGGTCAGGAGTCATGATTCAAACTTCGCCCCAGCATTGAGGCCCTCTCTCTCTCACTCTCTCAAAAATGGTGTCTTGTCTTCTCCAGTCCTCTGTGGAGCTATTCTATGAGGCTGTAGGCTTTCCAATACCAATTCACTCACTCTGTTATCTGTATATCAACTAACATCTCTCTCTTCTTGCCCTGCCAACCTATTTCCTCTCCTAGTTCACTCTTTACTTTAAACATAGCTGACCCAGCTTCTAGCTGGCTTGATTCTCTCCCCTTCTCCTTTGCTACTTCTCCTTTTTCTCCTTCACACCATCTCTTTTATTTCTTGGCATTAACTTATTTTTTAAGGTAGTCTTCTGCTATTGACATCCATCACCCCTACTCTGTCCCCCTTGCTCCACCACATTCAAGTTTGCTTTGATGTCTTCTAAGGGGTTAGTCCCACAAGCTAGTCCTCCCCCCCGACTGCCCTTCTCTATGTCCCCTTTCTGAGAACACCCACTGCCTCCCAATGCCAGCGTCCAAAGTTTCTGCCTGTAAACACTTTCCCCAGACCTAGAGGTATCAGGTTGCCCCAGGACAGTACAGACTCTTGGCCCCCTTGCCAAAATCCCAGCACCGCCCCAACCCCATGCCTAAAAGCAATTCCAGCAGTACTCTGATCAGAGGAGGTGAGAGCTAAAAATAACTGGAATGGTGACATAGGGGCAGGCAGAATGCCCCAAGCAGAGAAAAGGAGGGGTCAAAGCACCTTCATGATGGTAGAGAAGACTGCCAGCTAGAACTCTTGTGCTCTCTAGAAAAAGTGAGGAATGAGCCAGGACACCTGAATCTCTGAGAAAAGAACAAGTTTTTACAAGCTACATAAGGAGAGGCCCATGATGGGTTTTGGGAAAGAGCCCTGGATTACATGGCCAGCAAACACCACACTACATCATATTTAGAGCTCCAGATTTCTCTTAACAGATTTCTCTTTAAAAGCAGCTAATATCCACACTCAGCCAATGTGGACCGAGAAATGCGGATATACAAACAAATTGCTTGTCTTATATGTAAATGTCTTCTAGGTTGCTGATAATCATTCCTCTTCCTCATGGCCCTTCTTTTCAGCAAATACTATTCTGCTTCCTATGCCTTAATTTTGTTATTTTCTTATCCCTCTGCTTTTTACCTCCTGGCTTCATGGGCTCTTCAGAGTAAAATGCATCAGCAAAAAAGGACGACATACTCATCTGCCAAGCATTTTTGTATGCTAATGTTTACAGACAGGTCCAAATTTGGAAACAATCACTACAACTGAAACAGAAATACGGTGTGTCTCACAAGGAAGGCTGTGGCCAGGGGCCTTGTGCACCTGTTCTATATGTTGTCTAAGGCAGTGGTCCTCAGAAATCCTGGCCAGCAGAGGTGGTGGTGAAGGCTTCTGGGAGTTGTAGTCCAAGAACATATAGAGGCCCAAGGTTGGGAACCACTGGTCTAAGGCCGTGACTACACTGGCAAATAGTATGAGATGTGCTCCATAAGTAGAATGGATGAATTTGAACTTTTAAAATTTGGTTACATGATGCAAAGGTTGATGCAAATCAGCTCGGCCCTTTTTTGTTTCATAAGTGGAGTTTTTTTTTGCCAGTCACTAGGGATTCTACTTTTTAAAAGCCAGAGTTATTGGATTGATGTCTTCCACATGTGATAAGTCGTTTCTTTTTCCAAAAGGATGTTGGGGGGGGGCATGACTGTGGTCCTGGTGATGTACTAAACTGAATGTGATGTTTTAGACAGCAGGAACACCCATACCTGCAATCTTACTCCCTAGTTGTCCTGAAGTTTTGTGGTTTTTTAAAATTTTAAACAAACTACCAAATTTATCACTAGATCCCCTTATCACCACATTGATATATTAGTTTAGCACCAGATCACCTCTGGTTGGACAAAAAAAAGGATAAAAATGTATATGAAATAGAAACAACTCCAACAAACTATAGCAAACTACTGTACTATGTTTTCACGGCATGTGTGTAGGTGTTTGCATCTTGTGGAGAATTTTGGAAAACTGTCCCTTTTCGCTTGCACCTTTAAACTACTCACTTTAAACAACTCACTAGCTTTAAAAGGAACCATAAAAGGAGAGCCAGGGATCAGCAAAGGACTGGATCAAGGGAAGGGGGGCTGTGGGTTAGACAGACTGAACCACATTGAATTGAGGGGTCAGTGTGAGCACCGGAACCAAAACAATCTGCAGTCTTTGAGGAATCACCTTAAGTACTAGTAGCCTCACAACGAATTGCAAATGTGCAAACACAAATCCCCTGCTTTCCCTTTGCAGGATGCCTTATCCTGGCATGGACAGCCCTACAGAGAGGACACCAATACTTTTAAATGTTAGTGCCTTTAAATATAAACAAACAAGTCATGTTTGTCAGCCTTCATAGAGGATGGTCCATTCATATGTTAGTAGGACGCAAGACCATCCTTAAACAGAATTCTCTGTATATATTTAACTAGTTTTTACTTTCTCACTTGGTTACGATATACTGTACAGTATCTTTGCACTTGCTTCCTAATTGCTGTTTGATCATGTTTGATTATTTCTTTTCCTGTTCTTAGTTACATTGCCATATAAAAAAGTCAGTACATAGGCTTTATTTTTAACTCATTTTGTTACATTTGGTTTCTCATTCAGCAATTACAAAGTTGGCCTTCTCCCTCCAAGGTGTTCCTTTCCTTACCTATTAATTACCTATTAACTGTAACTTGCACGCAGTGGTATGTTCATTTTATCCATGTACATCATGCCTAACACGTTTTGGCTGCTTGTTCTAATAACACAGGGTAATGATGATATACACTCCTAGCCTTCTGTTCCTTATGCTAGCTGGGTTGCTGCTGACATTCAAATGTCTTCTCTATCAGCTGGTTGCATTTTCTGCCCTGATAATGGCATGGCCACATGCACTAAGTTGCTGAGAAGTTTAAATGAGCAAAACAGATCTCCAAAGAACTTTCTGTTACCAGCGAATTCACTTCCCACGTATCTCTTTAAATGCCTCTGTATTGTTTTTTCTCCCAAGGTCTATATACATATCTTGAGGTCTGAGGTTTTTCTCTCCCTTATGCATCCCTTCATCTTCCTTGGTGTACCATCTGTTGAGATAAAAGGTACAAAAGAAAGGTCCACCCATGTTTGTTCCTTGCTTCAGATACGGGCCAAGTAGAAGCCCCTTCCTCTTCTGTGGACAAAAGCTGACTGTAATGGCAGTTCAAATCATACTTCAGCACTAATGATGGAATAGTAGTCTCCATCATGATACATAGTCTGGTGCAGTGAATCAGGAAACCTGGTTTTGAATCCCCACTTGGCTATGGACACACACTGGGATGGGCGGGGTGGTAAAACCATACCTTAAGCATCTCACTTACTTTGAAAGCCCTGTTTAGAGCTGCTAACGTTCGTTCTAACATGAGAGCACATTACAAAAATTTTCTACCATCCTTGAGTTATAGCTATTAGCTATAACTGATGCTTCATGTCACACATGGGCCTTCTATGTGCCCGTGATCCACTTTATGGGGCACTGATTTCACTTCTTTGTTCTTTTCCTCTCACTGCATAAGTTTTCCCAGTTTACAGCAATACTATAATCCAGTTTCAGTCCACCAGTCCACTGTGAAGCTCTTAAAGAATTCACATGATGAACATATTGGCGGTGGCTACAGCTGGCTCAATCCCTGTCCTTTCTCCAACATGTGATAGCACATGTGAATATTGTCTATTGTCATTTGTGCCCACAAATGCCTTGATATTCCCATATTGTTTCCTTCTCAGAGAGCACTTTGCTGCACAGCCTACAGATCCATATCCAAAAGTAGTAAGGCAAACTGTTGGCTGGGATTACATGTTAGCCCAGCCAATGAATTGACACTCAAAAGTGTGACCAATGGGAAGAGAGGCAAACTTCAAATGATTATTCATTCTAGCATCTCTCAAATATGTTTTTATGCTGCCAGGCTTTTGCTTTGCTTTGACTCCATGTTCCCTGCAGGTGCATTTTTAGCTGACTCTTATTTTCAGCTGTTTTGTTTTGTTACTGATGTTGTTATATATGTTAGGGTTTTAGAGGATTTCTCGGAGCCTCAGAAGCTGGAACAGGAAGTTTCAGATTAAAGATTTCCATCACTGTCTGATCATGGCATCCTTGTTGCACAGCTTAAGGGTACACAACAGGATTTTAGCCTATGACATGCTGAAATCATCAATAACTGATTAGTAATGCTTGGAAAAGTCTACAACTCCCAGAATCCTCTTGTCAGGATGGCTTGGCCTGGGGGATTAAGGAAGTTTAAAATGTAACATTTCCAAGCTCTGCTGTTCATGTGGATAGTTACAGCATTGTCATTATGGTCATTTTTTTAAAAAAATGTAGTTTTGCAAGTTCTAAAACTCCAAATTGTTTTCTTCCTTCCTTCCTCTTTTTCTAAATCTCTACAATTTGAGAACAGGTTAATTACATTCCTGTCACCTTGAGAAGTATATTCCTGATCTGAGTATTATTGCTTCCTCTCATGCTATCCAAGCAAATAAATTGATGGCCATTTCTGAAACATTCACTGTCTAACACTGCCATCTACTGCTAGGCAATTCAGGTAAAAATACCACGTTTAGTAGGCTGTTTTGAAAAGGTAGCTAGTTGTGTTAGGCTGCAACCAGACTGCAATTTGATTTGCAGCCTGTATCACAGTTGAATTTGCAGTCAGTGATCACATAGAGGCTGCAGATTGATTCAGGAGTTCAATGTTCACACACTCGAAGCAATGCAATACACATTTCATCCCACTGTCCCCTCTTCTTTCCTTCCTTCCTCTGGTCCCACCTATCCCAAATCTTTTATGGTTTGCTGTCAAGCAGCTTGGCTTTGAAATGGCTGTACAAATGTTCCAGAAAAGGTGGCAGTATTCCATATATATTCTTAACATGCACAGAAAGACTGCATACCATGGGAATGTCTTTTATTTCGCCTGGGTTGATTCTCTTTTGTTCATTTTTGTAAAAATTCCTGTCTGGAGGTGATCTAGCACTATATTAGTATATCAACGCTGGTGATGCAGTGATAATGTGATCTAGTACTGATCTCACATATGTTAAATTAAAAAAAATTGGAGGACAATTAGGGGGGAAGAACTCAGGGGTGGGCATTCCCATGGTCCTGAATATCACACCCTGACTCTATGTCACCAAAACACTACCTACAGACATGCCCCTCGCATCTTTACAAGAACGAATCAAGTGATCACACTGGAAAAGTTCTGTTAAAATCATTCTGGCTTGAAACAAGTAGAAGCCCCCAGCAGCAGAGGAAAAAAAGCCACACTGAGAGGAAAAAAGGGCCAGTCCGATCTGAATTCACCTTTGCATCATATGATCAGGGGGGGAAAAAATCAAATCGACCCATACTATAGCCACAGCAAATCCAATGGTAGTTGATCACATAGCATCAAAATTAGTCTACTTTAGCATGTGTAACAAAAAGGAAATTTTGCATAGTAGTCACTGTCCTGCTCCAAAATAATTCTGTCTCTTCCATTTTCTAGAATTCCCACCTCCTATCTGTTCCTAACTCTGTGAATGTGTAGGTGCATCCATTTAGTTTCTGTTCATGTTTTATATGGTGATTTTTATGTTGTTGACAAATATATGGATTAAAGTCTTTGGGTTATATTTTCTCTATGCTGCACTATAAATGAAGTAAGATCATTTGACTTAGGACCATGAAAAAGGATCTGCCCACACAAACTGCTGCTATCACTGGTAATTAGGCCAAAAGCCTTACACTGTCTACCAACTATTCGGAAGCAGTTTTCACATCATTCTCAAACTGGTTTGGTTCTAATTATGTACATTTTCAAATGGGATGGTATTAAACAACAAATAGCAACAGGTTATGTGTCTTTCCCTTCAAATAAATCTAACTGGATTTCCTCTGAAATATGTGCATGATACTATAATCTAAAACTTTGACTATTCACACTCAACCTCTTCTTAACTGATGTATTTAAGAATGACAAGCATTTTGCTGTGCAATCCCAGCACAGACAACATTTGTGTAAAAGCCTGGAATGCCATGACATTTTACATCAGCTGCCTTGCAACCTAGATCATAGGGCCAGTTTATGCTTCAGGATGCATACAGAAGACGTTTATGTTTGGATGTGATTACACTAAAGAAAATGTCGTCAAATACAGAATTTTCTCATCTCAAGGATAAGAGTTTGGGTGAACAGCAGTTTGGGGTTTCTTTCTGTGAGTATTTGGTGGTGGAGCCACTCAAATATGCAGCCTCCCACCAGAAGACTGTGGTAAAACTGTCAAGAGAAACTTTTGGAGTTTCTGGACATGACATTGTGTCACTATTCCATCTTAGCCTCTTTAATAGCTGTCTTGTGGTAAGGATGTTTCTAAAGGCAGAGCTCCCCCTACTTGCAGTGAAACACTTTGCGCCTCTTACATCCTTTACTCCAGATTTTCCGTGGTAAAATGCCGCTGTGCACAAGCAAGTTGAAGTAGTGTAAATCTGTCATAAAAGTCAGTGAATAAAGCATGGTAATAGCAGAATAAAAACCTCTTTGGTGGGAGAACACAGGTTATAAATAGAAAACATTGTTTTTTTCTTTCACACACCAATAACATTTTGTTTCTAACACAGGGCAATTGCGCAAGAAAAGCCTAATCTGGAAACATTAGGCTTTTCTTGCGCAATTGCCCACCTAATCTGGAAACATCCTTTTGCAGTACTGGATTCTGTTCCCTATATAGTAATATATAAATTGGAGAGCTTTCCTTTTGCAGCACTGGATTCTGTTCCGTATATAGTAATATATAAATTGGAGAGCTTTGAAAAGAAACAAAATTCTTTATGTCAGTTTTTGAAATCACAAGTCTCTTCTTCAAGCTTGGTGTTATCAAACAGCTTGATATTGAAACCATGCAATTTGCTCCCTGTCTTAATGTGTAACAGGGAAGGAGTTACAAGCACTCAGCTAGGATTCATGAGGTGATAAGACTTCATCCTGAATGACCCTCAGGTCTGCCAGAAAAATAAAGGCAGTACATCTTAATCACAATTTTGAAAGCATAGTACACAACCCTTTCAAAACATCAAACTGTGCCCTTCTGTAGGGATTTTTGCAACTGTAACCCACTAAAAGATATATTTTATAAACTTTTATGAATAAATCCCAAGCACTATAATTCTTTGCATCTTTAGAAGAGGTAGTCTCTCAGGCAAAATCAAAACATACAGTAAATTTAAAAAATAAAGGAAAAAACCAGTTGAGCTACCTTAAAATACAAACTGCTATCTTTTAATTTGAGCTTTTGTGGACAAGTCCACTGCTTCAGATATGAGAGTGGGACTACATGGCAAATATTTATTCAGTTATATTTTAGGGCCATTGTAGTCCCACTCTCATGTCCGAGGAAGTCTACGAAAGCTCACATTAAAACACAGCAGTTACTCTTTAAGGTGCCACAATGTTTTTGTCTCTTTAAATTTTTGGCTGCTGAACCCCATAGTTTATGGAGAGGAGATCTCTCTGTTACTTTGGATGAAACAATGCAAAATTTTAAGGCGCAAATATCACACCTCAGCCAGCAGTGCTGAGAAAGAGCGGGCAGCTTTTTAAAATCCTCCCTCCCTTTCATGAAACCGCCTCCCCTAGCACCGCCCACCTCTCCTCTCTCAGCTTTCGCGGATGGATTATGAGAGTTAACACAAAAATAAAGCCCTGCGCGGAAGGATCTTGATAAGGGGGCAAGGTATAGCGTCCGCGGCTGAGCGTGCGCAGACGGAGCGCCGACTAGGCCCAGCCTGAGGCGGCGGGAGGCGCCGAGTAGAAGAACGAAAACGCGGCCGAGCACCCCGACGAGGGAGAGTCTGAGTGTGTGTTTGTGTGTGAGAGAGGAGCGCCGAGTGCGCGGTGGGGCGGGAAGGCCTGGCGGCGTGCAGTGGTGTGTATAAGAGGGGAAATGAGTTGTTTTTCACGCGCGCGTGTTTGGACTGGAGGGGAGGGGGGCGGTTGGTGCTCGTGAGGGGAGGTTTGAGGGCAGGGGTTTGCGTCATGGGGGCCCTGCGGGGAGGTTGCTCACAGAAAAAGAAGGAGAGGGAGAAACAGAAAACCCCTTAGTTATTGTTTTTAAAAAGCTTGCGGGCGGTGGGTGGGAAGGCGTGAGCACGCGTGACTGGCTTTCTGAGAGAGCAACAGCAGTGACGATCATAGTCATGCAGGAAAACTGCTTGAATGTTGAAAACGCTTTCCCTACAGGGTTGTTGTTGTTTTACAACAGCCCTGCAGTGTAGGCCTCGCGTTAGGATTGCCCCCCCTTTTTACAAATGGGGAACTGAGGCCATGACAGAAGTGCGCCTGTGGCTTCCCCTTGCAGCAGCCACATGAGGTGATAGAATGGCCTGTACCATTTCAGACTGCAGGGTGGTGGGTTGGTGGAGAGAATCCATCGTCCCCGAGTGCAAGAAACCAGATTTAGGCTGAACATCAGGAAAAACTTATTAACTGTTAGAGCAGTGCAACAATGGAACCAAGGTGGTGAATGCTCCATGGCTGGAGGCATTCAAGAGAAAATTGGACAACTCTCTGTCAGATCTGCTTTGATTTGGATTCCCATCTTGAGCAGAAGGTTGGAGTCAATGACTTTATAGGCTCCATTATGCTGTGGTTCTGTGATCAAGTTTTTTATACAAGCACTGTAGAGAGCTGCACTGGAACCTTTTGCTTCCTCTGTTTTGGTTCTTGCTTCTTCCCAGCCTCCATTTTTAGACACCAGGGAACTTCAGATTCCTCACCTGAAATGTGTAACTCTTCTTTGCCTCTGCAAGATCTTACCACCTGCCCCTTATATTGATCAGAAGCAAAGCCAATCTGATATGGTTGGATTGGCTTCTTGTAGATCCAGGCTGGAATTCTCAACTGAGCTATGAAACTTGTTGGGTAACCTTTGGTCAATTTCTTTCCCCACATCCCATGTCAGTTTTACCTACTTTGCTGGACTAGTTTGAGGATAAAGCAGGTAGAAAGAGCCAGGTATTCTGCCTTAAGCTTATTGAAAGAAAAGGAGGGGGGCAGCATAGACAAGATTCATAATGACTTCCCTGGTTCTAAGAGTCTTTTATAGCACAGTTCTCTGTTTATCAGAAATAATTAATTTTGTGTTCAGTGGGATGTGCTTCTTGATAAGTGTTTTGAGGATAGGATTTCAACTTTTGTATCTGTTTGTTACCTACTGCTGGAAAGGTATAGTATATGTAAATCCTATGATAATAGAGTGAAGAGTGTTTTATTTCAGGAAATTAGGCAATAATGGGTTGAATGTGGAGAGATTTACTTCTGAATAAGATGGGATTGGATTGCACTGTAAATATAGCATCTACTTTTCTTGGCATAGAAGTATCTTCCGGAACAAAATTGTTTATAGCCTTTTGTTTATAAATTGCAACTGTCTTACTATAATTCAGGGCTAGTATTAGTTCTATTTCCACAGTCAGAATAGCTAGCAAGATATCTGTCCATTTTATTAGCCTTTCCTTACATTTTTTGACTCTTGTTCTCTTAATGTGGCAGATTTTCCAAGATGACGCAATTTCTCCCCCCAAATTTGTTGGCATTATTTGCCCCTCGTGATCCTATACCCTATCTGCCTCCTTTGGAGAAATTGCCCCATGAGAAGCACCACAATCAACCCTACAGTGGTATTGCCCCTTACATTCGTGAATTTGAGGTGAGTGTTTCAGTTTCAGTTTTGATACATCAGGCTTGAGGAAATGTTCTTTTGACATTGGCTAGTGCTTGTGGCTATGATAGCAACTGCTTTCATAACACTTTATGTTTTTCCTTCATTAAATGTTAAGAATTAGAAATAGTTATTAAAATCAGTTTCTATTTCAGGATCCACGTGATGCTCCTCCACCTACTCGTGCAGAAACACGGGAGGAACGAATGGAACGGAAGGTATTTATAGTGCATAGTAGGGTGGGTTATGGTAATCTTAGATATGATTAAAAACTTTTTATTCTTTGAGCAAATAAACATCAAATTTTATCCATTGTGTGTTAAGAAGGTGAGGTGGGTGGTCACTGTAGAATTCAAAAGGATGCGATTTCTTATATCACAGTCCGTAGTTTTTTTGTCCATGACAACCATAGGCTTTTTGCTGGGAAGAAGTGAAGAGCATTCTCTTCTTTCCACCAGTGTGGAAACAGCACTCTCTGGGTGGTAGGGAATACAGAAATGGCTTTTAATTCTCATAATCAACAATCCTAATGCTGATTTTCTTTTCTTCGCTAATATGAAGAGTGGAGAAGGAGTGGGCTGCATAAAATCTTTCAGTGATGATTTGGTAGAACAAGGGTCAAGGCATGCCAGGAAGCTGCAGGTTATGAATTCTTGCTTTAGACTGTTTTTAAAAAAGTTTGTTACTGACTGTCTCTACCCTCTTTGGTTGCAGAGGCGGGAGAAGATTGAGCGCCGACAACAGGAAGTAGAGAGTGAGCTGAAGATGTGTAAGTCAGGGAGAATGGCAAGAAGTAGGAAGGGTTGATTAATAGCATTATCGGTTTTCTTTATTTACTGACAGTGGCTTTAAATGTTTCATATGACACCTTTCAAGCTGATTATTGCCACATTAGTTCATGTCAAGACCTAATATTTGCATAGTATGTATGAGAAAACACACAAGAAAAATGAATTCATTTTCTTATTTGATTGCATTATTTTTCCAATCAGGGGACCCTCACAATGATCCTAATGCTCAAGGAGATGCCTTCAAGACACTGTTTGTGGCCAGAGTTGTAAGTGACCTTCCTTGTTCTTCCTAAAAATACTTAATTTAAATTAGGTTATTATGGTGTCACTTAAAAAGAAGTTAGGATACAAATAAAAAGAAACAGTCCCTGCAGCATTCCCAGCAGAGCTCATATCTGTAGTTTTCCTCAGATGTCATCTTTGCCTTCTCATTTTGCCTTTCTGTTTACCTTGTAGAATTATGACACAACAGAATCCAAGCTGAGGCGGGAATTTGAAGTCTATGGGCCCATCAAAAGAGTAAGTAGGGGTACCATGTAGGATCAGTTTTGCAAAAACAAAAACTGAACAACTAAAAATCATCTTTAAAACCCTGCCTTCATGAAAGCTGCTACAATTTTCTGTTATTCTTTAGGTATTTAAAATGTAATTGTCACCACATTCAACATATTTTGCACACCAGTATTATTCTCAGAATGAGAGATGGGTTAATGTTGTGTAACTCTTGTCTCCTTAATTTCATTGTGAGCTCAGTCTTCACATGCCCTGATTGAGATTGCAATCCTATTTAGCTTTTTCCTGTCTGAGAGTAGGCATTATAGTGTTCTCTATCCCACAACATGGTGGTTTTTTTGTTCCATCTCAAGGATCGCTGTTTTGCATTCAGATATTTCTGATCAGAAGTATCAAAACATTTGGGGATTCCAACTCTAGTTCTGTGACTTCATGTAATCACAATCTTTGCCTTTACTTTTCCACTGCTCTCTTCTCATTCATGACATTGAATTGACATTGCCAAGACAGAGAAAATTTCAAATACTGTGGGATTGGGACTACTTCATCTCCAAACTCTAAGTGTCGTTTATTTTAAAAAAGAGAAATAGAGCAGCAGTTTCTGTTTCCCTGAATGACCAACATATTCTATTGTGGAAATGTCTCACCAAATAGACATATCAGGGGAGGTTGGCCATGGAATTTGGGGTTGAGGGTGGGTTATTCTTTTTGCACAGGTAATCTTTAAGTGATGGGATTGTCTTTGGAGGTACAGTTTTGACACTGAAAGAAAGTTTGTTTCTGTTCTCTTGGTTGTGCTGGACTTTGAGATGGAACTATCTTGTTAGCCCTTTGCACAACTGCTAATTTATTTTTAGATCTACATGGTGTACAATAAACACTCTGGCAAGCCCCGTGGCTACGCTTTCATTGAATATGAACACGAGCGTGATATGCACTGTAAGTACAATCCTTTTCTGGGATGCTTCTGTGTGTCTTGTGTGTGTGTGTTTTATAAGATGAGTTTCTATTGTTAAAAAGTGTCTTGCAAACTTTTCAAAGCCCTTGAGCTTTTCAAGGGTTTGGGCTCCCCCCTGGGCAGGTAAGTACAGAGTAGGGGGAGCCTGGCTTGGTTTGGCGAGCACCCAAGTTCCGTTAATCTGTTGCTGCTGGCTTTCCAAGAGGATCCTTCCAGCTGTTAAAAGTATCCAGGAGGGAGAATGGTTTTACTTCTTCAGTGTATGTAATTCAATTACGAGTTGATGTTGGAGATTATTATAGCTACTTCTGTTTACTTTATTTTATTGTGAAAGTAAATTAACGTAGCTTGGGTGCTGCAAACATAATGTGTGTACTAAAGTAACAGGCAACAGTTCAACAGATCTTGTTTTTGCCCACTAGAATTCCCTTGTGTTTGGGAGGGGTAATCCTATAGGCAGAGGGGGGATAACTAGTCACACTACTGTCTTTTTTTTGGGAAGCTAAAGCTACTGCTTGCACTGTGGGACACAGCAGTCATCATAAGGGGTGTCCTCATATTCTGAACTGTTGCCCATCTCCTTTCTGTTAATTTGTTTTTAAGAGGGAGAATGAATGCTGTGAAGAAATTCTTCTTCAAAAGCAATTGTAACTTTGACCTGAAGCTGTGTTTTGAAAAGATGCTGTTGTTGAGAGGCGTGTTGTGAGCGGGGTGTATTAATTCTGTGTTCTTATTGTCACTGCAGCCACCTTTCTGATGGCTATTGCCACTGCTGGCTTGCAGCTGATCCTTATGCTTCCCCTTTACAACATCTCATTGTATGGTTGGTATAAGGGTTTGTATAATTGGTAAGAAACCTCAGTACCCAACACACTTCTATACACAAGCCAGGTCAAAGGCAGATGCCAGGTAATAGGACTTAGTTAAGAGTGGAGAGAAAGATAGGGGGTCTATTTCTCTTCTGGCCTCTGTGCAGCTCTCTTGCTGTATGGAAGAGGAAAGAGAAATGGGTTTCTTGCGTTGTATTATTGGCCCTATATCTTGCACTATCAGTTTAGTGGGGAGGGAGGGAAAGACAGATCAGCCCTCTTCAGTAGGGCTCAAATATCCTGAGTGAACCCTCCCTCTCCAAGCCACACATGTGCCATTTATTGTTTCTGCAATCACTGGAGCCATTTTTGTGGCAGTGCAGGCAGAAACAGAATTGTCACAAATGAAATTCTTGTCTCTCTGCCCCATATAAACCTAGCAGAGGGGGCATCTGAAAACATTTCAGATTTACTGGAACAGAATAAAATTTCCTGTTACTCACTAATGCAAATTGGAATCCGTAATGACATTTGGAGTCACCTTAAAACCTGGCATGAAAATTCCTATTTAATGACAGCTGCTTTCAATGCTAATATAATAGTATTGATAAAATAATAAGCCTGATGCTAAAATGAGACACATTCCCCACTCAAATGCTAAGTTAAATATGGATTAGAGTTGCTATAGGACTGGATTGATAATGCTTGTAAATGTGAAGTGGGGACCTTAGATTATCATGTTAAACAATAATTATGTGCCATCAAGTCGATTATGACTTATGATGAACTTTTACAGATTTTTCTTGGTATAGAGTTTACAGAAATGATGCTTCTGGGGATACTGTGGGACTGCAGCTTCCCCAAGACTGCACAAGATGGCTCTTCTGCCAGAAGGCACAGTGGGGAATTTAAATTCTAACTTCTGGCTCCACAGCCAGATACCTAACTCACTGATTTATCCCCACCCCCACTTCAAAAAAGTTTGCTTGAGGCATAGTAAGGTATTCTTGTAACATACCAAATCCATGGTCATTTGTGACCAGTAACAATTGCCATGAGATGCATCTCCAGTACAACCAAGATGGAACTGCTTGGTTCTTTGCCACAGAGCAAAGCTCTGTTCCTAGCCCTGCACTGTACCCACTGGACATGTAGCTCCTTCATTCTTGCTTCTAGTTTCAAAAATATGCAGGATTTTAAGCTATAAAAGATTTATATATGTAGTGTACATACGTTTGTTGTCTTGAACTAAGGTAGCACTGTGGAGACTGTGTATGTGATTGTCTCCTTCCTGATCTTGGGCAGGCATTTCAGTTCCTTAGAGCTGGCTGATGGTGGAAATGGCAGCAGTATAGATATGAAATAGAAAGATACAGGGCATGTCAGGAAGTAGACAATCATCTTTTAAATCTCTTACTTGCATAGCTGTGTTAGGCTGTGCATAAGCCTATAGCAGACATACTCCATTAGCCTGTCTTGAATTTCAGAATGAACAAATAATCAGGGAAGTGGAAGATTCTTACCCGTTATTGTGGCCCGACTCCTGACATATCTCTGGGCTTTAATAAAAATTACAGTTTGTCCTTTGCCTCATGTAGTGGGATCTCCTTGTCTTAACATACAGAAATGCATTGACAAAAGATATTTTAACAGGAGCACTTTTAGACAAAATTGAGGACAAATGATTTCTGGTAAATACCCCTAAAACAGTTTATGTGCACAAGCCCTGAGTGGCTGATGTGTGTTTCTTAGAAGGGAGTGTACATTTTTGCCTGTGTTCTTTCAAATTCATAGGAAGCAGGACTGAGGATATTTGAGCTCTGCTTTTAGTTAGCAAGTAGTTAGTAATTAGTAAGCAGTTTGACTAATTGGCTTGACTTGGGGTACAAAGCTTAGGTAGATGGAGTTTTTTGGTCACCCATGGCGTTTTTGCCAAGGCTGTAATGGACCTTCCAGGCAGGACGTGGTTCGGATGTCTGTCTCTGCAGAGATTCTAACCATTGGTTCCTTTTATGGGTTTTAACACACAAGCAGGCAACTATATTACTGTTGCTGGGTTCCTAATTCCTTTTAGAGAGGTTAGTTTAGATACATCACATGTTTATTGCTATTCTCTCTCTTTTATCTCCTTTAGCTTAGTTCTTTCAATTGTATAGTATTCAAAGCTTTCAACTTGTCTGATGCAAGCAGTAGCTAGGAACACTTAAGGGGTGTGTTGCCAAAATGCTCAATTTCTGATGCCTTTGTAGTTGAAGGGCACATTCCTAAACATTGGGATTGGGTTTTTTAAAAACCTGTTAAGAATTTAGATGGGACCTAAAGGGTTTTACTGAACTTGTCTGTTATTGCAAGACGAGGTTTAGATTGCCATTTAATCTAATGTTGCTGTGTTTGACAAACTTTGAAGACTGAAGGGCATCTAGCCTTCATCTGAGCTTTGTTTTGGGGCATTGTTAGCTGGGTTGGTTGGTTAGCTAATTAAAAAAACAAAACCCCTAAAAATGTGCATTTATCCTTGAAACTTAACTGCTGACCTGATTGTGAGGGGGAAAGTGTAGTCCTTAGAACTTTTGTCAGCATACATGAAAGAAAAGAGAAGCTGCAAGTATAGTACTAAAACTGCAAGCTGCCTAATGTGAACAGTAACAAACTTTCACTATTGGCTGCTTGAAGGACTTTGTAAATATTGAAAGTCTTTTTCCTGGCCTTGGTATTTGATCCATGCAACCCAAACCAGAGTGTTAGCTATGCAAAATGATAAGTGGGTGTTACTGGAGAACACCCAGTACTCATTTTTACATACAAAGGTACAACCAGTTGAAGCTAAGTACCTTTTTGGCCTTTGTCATTACCTGTTACTTACATGTAAGCATATGGAAGCTTGAAAAATTATCAGAATTCTCCTTTTTATGATGAGATTTTGGGATTTTAAATAACATCAGCTCATCCTTTAAAGGTCAGGTTTGCTGACTTGTCGTGCAGGGGGGGAAAGGGTGGAATGAGGCCCTTTGTTTAAAACATTAAAGTGGGACATTAGAATAATTCATTGAAAAGGGTCTCTGTATAGTAAATGTATAGGTGTAATTATAATATAGCAGAATTGTTCCAGGTGAGTTTCCCAATCATAACACATGGTGTTACTCACACTCCCTGAATACCCTTTAAGGCTTGAAGAAAAGTTATGAGGTTGTTGTGCTAGGGCCATAGTGGTTAATTGCAAAATGTGCCCCAAATGTAATGTGCACTACAGAGGGTGGTTTCAGGTAAGCATTCTCCAACTCTCCCACGGACTGATCTCTTCACTGGAAAAGGCCCAGCTTCGTCTCCTTCCTACAGTAAAATGGTGGTGAATATGTGGGGCAGGGATTCTGCCCCTTGCTGACTTGATCCACTGACTGTCCTGTCTGGAGATGAGCCATGAGACTAATGTGAAGGCTCTGTTTGTAATGGATGGTGGTCTGTCATCCTTTCCCAACATCCAAACTGACTGGCTGCTGATGCTCAGCATGATGGTTGGCTTCAAGGCCCAGGATAACATCTTCGCCATTGGGCAACGTTTGACTTGATGATCTTGTCAAGCCCCATCTTCCAAAACTGTCTTTAGTAGCTGATAAATCTCTACAGTACGTTAAAATAAAAGAGGCAGGGGACAGCAAAGTGTTGGAAATTGCATCCTCCATCAAAGAAACAGATTTCTGGACATTTTTAAAAGATTCCAGAGCTTTCCAAAGTAATTCAAAATGGATGGAAATATTTTGAGTGCCTTCTACTTCAGGCGGATAGCTTCCAATTCTTTTTTTTCTGAAGTAATAGTATTTTCTTCTGCTTAACATGTTCGATGGAAGATTGTTGCCATTTGTTCTGAGACAATTCTCCACTACCACCAATTTTTCTTTCTTTATTTTTTTCATTTTCACTTTTGTGAACATGGTAAGGGAAAGAAAGATCTATTTTTTCTTTATATGCACACATTGAAGAGATAGAATCTGTGTGTCTACGCAACAAGAATGTTTTTAATCCTTTTTCTTTATGTAGTATGTGCATGTGGTTGACTTCATGAACCTTGCCAGATGTTAAAATGCCATGCTTTTCCATTAAGACAAGTATCTTCCCCTGCATTTTTCTTTAAAACCAACTGAACGTGCATTGGGCTGAATCACATTATTAGTCTCCAACTATAGTAGACACACTGAATAGATCAGACTTATTAAATAAACACTAAGTCCCATTGATTCAGTGAGTATACTTTAAGACCACAGGTGGATGTAGCCCATTTTTTGTCTTTTCTCAAACACATATGTGCAGTAAACAGTTTTAAAAAATCTTTTAAAGCAAAATACAGGATAAGAATAATATTAAAACTCGAACACCATCTATAAACAACATACAGTTTGTTTTACACTATTAATTACAGTGGGGTCTCTACTTAAGAACGTCGCTACTTAAGAACAATTCTACTTAAGAACAGCTCCGTTTGCTAAATTTTGCTTCTACTTGAGAACAGAAATCCTAGATAAGAACAGGGAAAAAAAAACCTTTCCTGCTCTTTTTAACCTTAGGTCATCTTAGGTTAAAAAAAATTCTCCCCCTAGTGGTAGAGTACGTATTAACCAGCTTTCAATGTACGAACGCACCTCTACATAACAAAAAACAGCCAGAACGGATTAATTGGTTTTCAGTCCATTGCTTCAAAATTAGCTTCCTCAGAAGTGCTTTTAACATTGTTCCCTGACCTAAGAAAAAATATCCCCCCTCTAGTGGCAGAAGGCGGAATAGCAGCTTCCCATTAGTTTCTATGGATGGAAAAGAGCAGATACGGATTAAATGGTTTTCAATGCATTCCTATGGGAAATGCAGATTCTACATAAGAACTTTTCCACTTGAGAACCACCTTCCAATACGGATTAAGTTCTTAAGTAGAGACCTCACTGTACAGGTTTAGTATACATTTCAGAATGGTTGAATTACACTTATTTTATTTTCATTTCTGAAAGTACTCTCCCACAGACATGTAGTCATCTCAGGTCGTTTTTAAAAGAGCAGCATTTCAGTAACCAAAATACATAGTTTGACTACCTGAATTTTGAGACAGGCATATTCTTAAATGGAAACTCTTCTGAAATTGATGAGTTGATGTTCAGGTGGTGCAGCCTTTCCCCATCCTGTGCCCTCCATATATTTTAGACTACAACTGCCATAATCTATAACCACTGGCCATAATGGCTAAGGTTGATGAGAACTGTCATATTAAATCTGGAGGGTATGAGGTTCAGGGAGGTTGTAATAGTTTCTAGTGCTGCTTAACTCACACTGGAGGCCTTCTGCCATACAGATATCTATTGCCACATATAGGTGGATGTAGTAGATTTGAGGGGTGGTGATGTGGAGGACCACAAGCCTTATAAGGACCTTAAAGGCTTAAGCTATATTCAAGCTTTTAATTACAAATTTTACTTAGTGTGGGGAGTGGGTGAGGATGGAGGGCTGGAGACGGGCTGGCAGGGGTGGGGTGGGTGGAGTCTGAGTGTCCGACTTCTGCTGCTGAGACAGGTAAGGCAGGGAAGGTCGGCTCAGCAGCTAAAATGCAAAACCCCAAATACCGCCCCAGCCGGGGGCGCCCAGGCAGGGGGGAAGCTGCGCCTCGGGCCCCAGCGCTAGCAGCCCGATGCAGTGAGTTTGAGGAGTTAAAAGTTGCAATGGTTTTGTAAGTAGTTTCTCCAGGTAAATCCTTTTATTTCCTTTTTACATGTTAGCTGTGCTCGCTCCACCCCTTCCCTTAGCAAGTGGCTTGAGAACATTTCCCTTCCCTGAAAATCATCCTAGATATTTGCAGTGGGCTAACAGTGGCAGGGGTGGGATGGAAGATTAAAGAAGGCTGGGATTGTTGTGGGAGGGCACCAGCCAGTTCCCTAAGTGTTGCTACTTTTTGTGTGTGTATGTACTACCCACTCTTTCCTTGACAAACTTTCCATTACCTGTATAACGTAGAAATATTTGTCCCCTCTTTCTCCCTCTTTCCCCCACCTTTTTTTAAAAAATTATTTGTATTGATGGCAGGAGCTCTTGCTTTAGGTAGGGATTGTTCTTGGGACTGGCTGGTCAGGGGTGAAGGAACAGCAAAGCCTAACCTAGTCTGAAGTGAGCTGGGAGGGCTGAGGTAGAGCATTTACTTATTTATACCTGGCCCTTTTCCCTCTGGGCAAGTGATGTATGTAGCTTGAGTGTCTTGACTGCTCAATAACCTTCCTTTTTTTGCAGCAGAGAGCAGGGAGTTGTATTTTGGGCTGGAGCTGGGGTTGCTCCACAGCTCAAGGGATTTGTGGTCAGCATGATGTGACTGTGTGGCAGCTGTGGTCATGCACAGCTCAGGTGTGCTAGCCAGTTCCACCTTCTTTTCCACAGTCATGTTGGTTTTTCCCCCAGCTTTTTAAGTCAGGGCAAGCACTAATTGCTCCAGGTTTCTCCAAGAGAACTTGTGGCAGTGCTTCCCAGGCAGATGTGGAGCAATCCCTTGCCCTTGGGGGCACTGGGGCCATAGAAGCCTCCTCCCTCAGAATCCTTTGTGTGTGGTATGTGTCTTTGGTGGGGGAGGGTGGGCTTGCTTTATGTACAGTGTGGATAATGGCAGTTCCCTTTGCCCTTCCTTTCCCTCTGGATACCCTTCCTGATCTGTTGCAGCGGCATACAAGCACGCAGATGGGAAAAAAATTGATGGCAGGCGAGTGTTGGTGGATGTAGAGAGAGGCCGGACGGTGAAGGGATGGCGCCCACGTAGACTTGGTAAGTGCTGGCAAAATCATGGCATCAAACAGCCAATTTTTACGTTTCTTCCACAGCTTCTTTCCAAGGCTGGAATTGAGAATAGTGTACAGTGGTGCCTCGCTTAGCAATCACCCCGTTTTACTGCAAAATCGCTTAGCGATGGACTTTTTGCCATCGCCAGAGCGATTGCTTAGTGATGGCCCCTATGGGTAAAAATTGCTTTGCGATGATCGTGGGGACGCGATCATGGCAAAGCGCCCATTTTTAACAGCTGATCTGTGGTTCCAAAATGGTCGCTGGAAAAACAAAATGGCGACCGCTGTTTTGCCGTGCTTTAGAGCCACCCAAAATGGCCACCGCTATGGAGGATTTTCACTTACAGGTAAGTTTTTAGCCCGTAGGAACGCATTAAACGCGTTTTAATGTGTTCCTATTGGCTTTTAAAAATCGCTTAGCGATTAAATTGTTTAGCAATGTTTTTTCCTGCACGGATTAATGTCGCTAAACGAGGCACCACTGTACTGGATTTGGCCATCACAGAAAGAGGTTGATATTTAATAGAAGACTTAATAAGATATTAAGATGTTTGAGAGGCTGAATGAAAAATGATCTGCCTAAAAAGAGGAAAACTGAAGGACACAGACTAGCGCAGTTCATCAGATTATTTCTTTTACAGGTTAGAAATGGATGTAAGAAACTGTTTACCATATTTGAAAGTAAACTTAAACAGTAGGTAGATTGCTATTTGGAATTTATGCTCGTGTAAGTATAATGCATAAATCACAGCAGTGAATTGCTGGTCATTAACAGCTCATATTCCTTATCATGTGCCAAATCACACAGGTGGGGTATGACCAGAAATCCAAGCGACAGTTCAGTCACTGGCAATTTATCACGATGCTTTATGCAGTTACCTTTCTGCTGGTGTTAGTTCCCAGTAGGATTAGAGAGAAATGTATATATTTTACATGCCATCAAGTCGGAACTGACTTGTAGTGACTCTAATAGCTCCTTCCATGTAAATGAGCTATTTCGAGAGAGGTTTTACCAGTTGAAGCAGCCCAGTGAGTTTCCATGGCTAAGAGGAATTAAAATTCAAATCCAGGTCTGAATGAGGTCTAGTCCATCACTAGATCCATTACAGCACATTGAATAGAGCAGTGGTTCTTAACCTTTGTTACTTGGATGTTTTTGAACTGCAATTCCCAGAAACCCCAGCCAGCACAGTTGGTGGTGAAGGCTTCTGGGAGTTGCAGTCCAAAACTCCTGAGTAACCCAAAGTTAAGAACCAGTGGAATAGAGGAAAACAGGCTTATGTTAAAACACTTTTCTTTAAGGAAAAGCTAGCGTAAGAGCCATTAGATAGTGGAGTAACATGGCAAAAAGGTAGAGAAATCTCTGCATGGAAGCTTTGAAAATAAGTTGGACAGCTTGCTGTTGAACTTTTCGGTTAGACTAGAGTCTTTGTGATTGGCTATGGAAGAGTGTAACCTATGGAACTGATCCTCTCCATCCAAGATGATGTCATCCTACTGCCTAATCTCTCTTGTTTTCCTCATTTTTTCCCTGACTGATAAAGTCATTGTTCTTATGAATCAGAAGCCTGAAGATATGGACTTAATTACTCTTCTTTCTCCCTGATTCCATACAAATTGTTTTTACTGTGTATCTTGCTTAAACTGAACAGCATGAACAAGTAATGGTGTACAGTATGAAGAAGGATGTTTCTTTTCCTCCCTCCCCCCCTCCCCATTTTTGAAGGTGGTGGTCTCGGTGGCACACGGCGGGGTGGTGCTGATGTCAACATCAGACACTCAGGCCGAGATGACACTTCCCGATATGACGAACGGTGAGTTGAGCTCTTATAGGGAATATTTAATTACAAATAGCTTACATCTATAGATGCTAAGATGAAGTACAAAAAAAATTAGGGGTTGTGTCTATTCTAAAATAATTGCCATAGCTGCAAACATACTTTTCATCACAGTTCAAGGTGGTGAAAATGACTTTGAAAGTACTTAAATGGTTTAGGATCTAGGTATTTAAGCCTGCCTTTGGCAATGGACTAAGCCTCAGGGATCTCTCCGTTTTACAATTCTGTGATTCTGTTTGACGGAACACCTCTCTGCACATGTAACTCTCCAGTAAGCAGTTTCTGCTGGGGAATGATTCTCCGTAGGATGAGATCCACTGTTTAGAGATGTGGAAGTGGAGTGTTTTTGCTGTGGTCCCTCAGATGTGAAATGTCCTCCTCTTGGATGTTTTCTATTTTGTTCAAATTGTTAAATAGTTTTAACAGTATTGAGAATCATTTTAGATTCTTTATTATTTTGTTACTGTTTTTATTGCCCCTAAGACCTCTCAGTATAGCTTAGGTTTAGAAATACTTAAGTACTGTAACAATGTACAAATTGACACTTTTGAAGCTAAAGTGGGAAAGAAGAGTCAGTGTGGCTAATAAATTCAAAGAAGTATAGGACCTTTTCCTGATATTCTGGAATCAACAGAGGCAAAATGTTATTTCATAGACTTTTTTAGATTTGCTGTAAATGAGGATAGGAATTTGATCTCTTCATGGTAGTATTTTTATAGTGCCACATTAATTGTTCTACTCACAGAAGATGAATGTATTGAATAAACATACAGTGTTATTTGTATGTCTGTGAAATAAAAACAATACAGATAATTTTGGGGAAAAAACTGAAATAACTAGTGGGTGCTTTCACACTAAATACCCTGCTTCAAAGAGTTGTGGAGTGAGATGGGAGGGCTTTATCATGAGTAATGCTTACCATGGAGAAAGTAATTTCTCAAGTGACCATGTTCCAATTTGCTTAGAGTTTTAGATGCTAACAGTATTACTTAAATCTTGCCCAGTGGCAAATAGGCAGCCTGCCTGTGCCTTGGACCTGAGATCCACTCAGCAGTAAGGCTTCTGTTTTTCCAGGTTTCAGCCTCAATTATTAGCCCATATCCATTCTAACACTGTATGTAGACACTGGTCCAGAACCTCCATGATTATCCCTGAGGAAAGTAGGGTGCTATGTCTGTGGCCACTCCTTAGACTTTTGCAGCAACTTTATATCAGACACTATAGGAGCAATAAAAGAATTATTGATTACTACTTCAAAATTTCATTGGTTTATTTTGCTCCAGCTGTATGCTAGAGCTTACAGAATCATACAAAGTATAATTTGTTCAGTTGTTCGAAGACTTACCAGGTGTTAAGAAATAAGCAGGTCTGAGTCACATCTGTATTTTAATATAAATGTTTTCTTTCAAAACCCTTTGGACTCTCAGGAAAGCTGTTCCTTTTTTTCTAGCTAAAAACTTGATTCTGTGGCTGACTGCAGCTCTTCAGACTGGGATATTCATTCTGCTTGACTTACACGTATCCATGTGCTTTTGTTTGGAAGATATTTAGGTCATAGCTTTCGAACAAACTTAAATTGGGCTTAAACAGATTCAGTATCATGAAACTGAGAAATAATATTTTAAGAGTTCTAACAGCTGTGGGAGATTTTTTTTGATCTTCATATAACTAGAATTCTTAGAACCTTCTTAGCTGTTAAAGCTGCTGTTTAGCACAGCTATATCTTTCTGAATAAATGACATGTTCCTTTCTTAGCCGGTTTTTATGCCACACTTTACCAAATTTCCTGCTGGACAAAATCATTCAGTTGTTAATTAAGCATATTTTGACTTTTTCCTGGTTCTTAAAGAGATCGGGACCGTGAACGAGAGCGTGATCGCCGAGACCGCAGCCGAGATAGGGACAAGGAACGGGAACGCCGTCGTAGCCGATCCCGGGAACGCCGGCGGCGGACACGGAGCAGAGAAAAAGATGAGCGGAAACGCAGCCGGGAGCGCAGCAAGGATAAAGATCGGGAACGCAAGCGTCGTAGCCGTTCCAGAGACCGCAAGCGGGATCGGGATCGTGACAGAGACAAGAAAGAGGAATTGCCAGAAGTAACTGAGGCCCAGCCCGATGAAGCTACTCTTGGTGAAATGGGTGTAGATGGGCTAGAGGTGAAGCCTGAAGGGGAAGAGAAGGGCCGAGATAGGGACCGGGAGAGGGACAGAGATAGAGAGAGGGATCGGCGGCGCAGTCATCGTGATAAAGACAGAGACAGGGATCGTGACAGAGAGCGTCGTCGTGATAGGGACAGAGATAGGGACCGGGACCGTGAGCACAAGCGTGACAGAGGTGAGCGAGGTGGGGAGAAACGAGAGGAGCGGGGGCAGGACAATGGCATGGGAGAGGCCTTGGAGGAAACCAGCCAGGACATGTTCCTGGACCAAGAATCCATGCAGTCCGCTGACGGCTATTTATCCACTGAGAATGGGTACATGATGGAGCCCCCAATGGAGTGATGTGAATGGAGATTCTTCCTTCCTTGCAGCCCGGTGAGGTGAGGCTCTACCTCCCAAGCTGCCAAGCCACTGAGGCCCCATCAAACAGTCAAGATAATTGATTTTAACTGGTTTTGTTTAGAAGGGTAAGTCTGTTTCAGTTTTGCCTGTCCTAGCCCATTTCGTCTTAACATGTAATCTTCAACAAGCCCCTTGTGTACTTGGATATTTTTCTTTAAACAAGAATAAAGTGTTAATGTTTTCTCCATGTAAAGTATGTCTGGAGCTGACATGTCTGAATGAAACACAGTGGCTGGATTCCAAGCTGCTAATGGATCATTAGTCTTAGTTACGTGTTGATTACTTCTGCTGAAACTTTCACTGAAATACAGTCATTCAGTTTTTTGCAGGGGGGAATCAATATTGCATTTTGGAAGGTGTTCTTATAAGCACAGATGGGCTAAATTTTGCAAGTAGATTTAAAGGAGGTACTCTGAGATGTATCTGAGGATGGGCAGGAAAGGCAAACAAAAGTTTACTTTGCTAAATGGAAGATAAGTTTGGATTTGGTCCAGTTTCATAGTACTGTACTGTATGAGGATGTATCTCAAAGTAAACATTAGGTGATCTTACAGATAGGGCAGCAAAAGCTTGTATTGACCAAGGGAAACTTTGGAATTATCAAGGTTCTGTCTAGTGAAAGAAAAATTCTGTGCTTATCTAATCCACATCCAATACCAAGAAATATTTAATTTCATGGCATAATGCAAATTGAGCATATCTTCAAATCAGTTTATTTTGCCTAATTCTGTATTTTTAAAAGTTACTCATTGCTTATACTATTTGTATTAATGAAAGGAGATGGGAGGTAGTTACATTTAATATTGAGGTGAGTCTGTCCTCAGTATTGAACTTACTTAGCCCCCATCTTCTGAACCTGATTACTGATGCATTTTCATGCATGCAATATTGATGCATCTTCATGCATTTGGTAGTAAGGCTTGAACAAGTTTTAAAAATATAAATGGTAGAAATGTCTGAATAAGAGTGGCTGAAGCAACAACATAGTATTAAGGAGAAGTCTACATATATGTTGTTAGCATGAGAGATGAAATTGTTTTACTTGGAAGACTGATCAACTGGTCTGCTTCTTATTTGTACAGTGGTGCCTCGACTTACGAACTTTATTGGTTCCAGAACTCCGTTCGTAACTTGTAATTGTCATAAGTCGAAGCACCATTTTCCATAGGAATGCATTGAAATGCAATTAATCCATTTCAGCCGAAGAAAAAAAATCACCAAAAAAACACACAAAACACTGCAAAACTCAACGGAAACGCGATTAATCCGTTCCAGCCGAAGGGTGGGGGGAGAAAAGCAAACAAACAGTGCAAGACTCTTTGGAATGCAAAAAAAAAGCAAACCAGAAGACCAAACAAACTGTGTAAGACCCATCAGAAATGCAAAAAAAGCAAACAACCCATGCAAGACCCTTTGGAAATGCAAAAAAAGCAAAGCAAAAAGCAAACAAACCCAGCAAGACCCATTGGAAATGGGGGGGGGGGATTCAAAAAGCAAACCCTGCAAGACCCATCACAGCATAGAAATCCCACCACCTAGCCCAAGACCACGCTGCAAAACCCGCCCAGAACAGTTTTTAAAAATCAGAAAGCAGCACCTTACCAAGCAGTCCGAAGCCTCCTCTGATTGCACCGTTAGGGTGAAAGAGCTACAAAGAAGCAGCCTCTTCGCCTATTAATAGTTAGAAATTTGAATTCCCTGCCTTTTTCCCCTGCCTTTTTCTGTTCGCAACTGGAAGCTCCGACCAGCAGCAAGTCAAAGCAAAATTTTGCAGCTGGAGCTGGTTGTAACTCGAAATGGTCGTATGTCGGGACGTTCATAAGTTGAGGCACCACTGTACCCATATCTTCTCAGAGTGGCTTAATAAAGTCATTTGCTGAGTTCCTCACGACTCGGTGCAAGTTAAAATCAAGTTCCTGTTGCCTCTAGTCCAGCACACCACACTGGCACATCTATCATAAATTGTTAAGTGGCCATCAGGTTTCATGAATTTATTTATTTGATTAATTTATATCCTGGCTTTCCCTCAATTCTGGGATCATTTTTTGTTTGCAATATTAAAATACAGATGTAACTAGGAACAAAATACTTATAACCAACAAATTATATTGAAATAGCATATTAAAATCAATTTATAGAAACACCATATGAAAACATTTACTTTGACCATGAAGCTTTTACGTTACCTTCCAAACCTCTTCAGTATTACAATAATAATCGTGTATCAACAAGTCAATACTGACTTAAGTCAATCCTTTTTCAGGGTTTTCTAAGTAGAGCACTCAGAACTAGTTTACCATTCCCTTCTGAGGGCATCCTGGGGCTGTGCAGCTTGCCCAGGGCTACACAGCGAAGACAGTGGGAAATCAGACTCCCAACTGATACCTAAACCACTAAGGCAGTAATGGTGAACCTTTTTGAGCCCGAGTGCCCAAACTGCAGCACAGAATCAACTTATTTATTTCAAAGTGCCAACACTGCAATTAAAACCCGAATACTGAGGTTTTAGATTAGAAAAAACAGTTCCTGCACTGAAAGGATTAAATGCTTGTGGTTTTGTTTTGTTTTTTCTATGGGCAGTGTTAATAAAGAAATACTGTACTTACTGGTCCTCCAATCCCCCATTGGCTAGACTGGTAATTTGCACCCCTCCGCTGAGGGGAGTGCCCAAATCTGGGATCAGAAGACAGGTAAGTATTTCTCGATGGCGACTTATGGCTTATGCGCCCACAGAGAGGGCTCTGTGTGCCAGCTGTGGCACACCTGCCATAGGTTCACCATCGCTACACTAAGCTATCCAGCCAGCTATAGTATTACAATGCATAATACTTGTACAGGTAGATGGCATGAGAGGGCTTGTTACAGAGGTCAATGCGTAGCACTAGTAGTAGGCATCCTTCAGTCTCGAGAGACTGGTATCATGCCCTGTATGGAGGACTTGGAACATCGTCTAGTGTGGCTGAGAAGGCCAATTCGAGAGTGACAATCTCTTCCACACTGAAGACAAATCCAATCTGTCCCCTGTCCAGCTCCCTGGTTTTCCTGCTTTTATGACTTCTTTGCCTCAGCCTGCTGGACAAGGGTCTCTTCAAATTGGGAGAGGCCATGCTGCACTGCCTGCCTCCGGGCTGAACGCTCAGATGTCAAGGTTTCCCATCTGTTGAGATCTGTTCCTAAGGCCTTCAGATCCCGCTTGCAGATGTCCTTGTAGTGCAGCTGTGGTCTCCTTCTGGGGCGCTTTCCCTGCACTAATTCTCCATACAGGAGATCCTTTGGAATCCGACCATCAGCCATTCTCACGACGTGCCCAAGCCAACGTAGATGTCGCTGTTTCAGTAATGTGTACATGCTGAAAATTCCGGCTCGTTCTAGGACTTCTCTGTTTGGAACTTTGTCCTGCCAGGTGATACCAAAAATCCGTCAGAGGCAACGCATATGGAAGGTGTTCAGCTTCCTCTCCTGACGTGCACAAAGGGTCCAGGACTCACTGCAGTACAGGAGTGTGCTCAGGACACAGGTTCTATAGACCTGGATCTTGGTATGTGCCGTCAGCAGTAGCTTGAGCCATACTCTCTGAGTCTAGAGAACATGGTAGCTGCTTTGCCAATGCGTTTATCCAGCTCGACATCTAGAGAGAGTGTGTGTCAAAGATGCGTAGCACTACAAACCACTTAAAACCCCCACTGAAACAATGGTGTAATCAAATACAAAATGAAGAGTCACCTGATGGCTTTGGTGAGGGTGAAGGGCAAGCCACCTTCAATGGATGGCGATGTCTGCGCTTTGCTCTGGGCAAGAGCTTCTAGAAGTGTCTCAAACGCAAGTGCAGGCCTTTCTTGCCAAGGCTTTCGAAGTCTCTCATGCTCTAAAAGGGCCCAACTGTTAACACAAGAAGGGCAGGCTGAATCCGGGTACAAATGATCTGGAAGTTGTGGGTTAGGGAAAAGTAAAACAGCACGCTTTGATAGCGGTTCTTTCCCGGGGAGGAAGGAGATGTAGGCGGGTTTTTTTAATACAAGGACTTCTCTGCCAGGGAAGTGGGTCACTCGCTCCTTGAGGAACAGAAGGGTAATAACAGCAGGGGTCGAGCAGGGCCGACGTCAAGCGACTGACGTAAAACATCAAAAGCACTTCAGTGTTTCATCTCTTTTGATTAAAAATAAACACAAACATTTAAAATGGTTTTTCTCAAATGCTTTGCGCCTATTGGTAGCAATAGTTGCCGCCGGCTAGTCACTGGCACACAGGTAAGAGAAGCAGGGTCGCCCCTGACTAGGAACGCCTTTTTTGCTCCCTTCGGGATTACGACGTGAGCGCCCCGGCCTGACGCCGGGGTAGCGGGAGGTCTCTACCCTCAGGGCCCGGGCTCCCGACCTGCCCCGGACCCGCCCAGCGAGAGAGGGAGGCCGGGTGCCCAACGCACCTGCCCGGCCCGACGCGAACCCCCCCCCCCCCCAAAACAGCCCGGGCGGAGGGCCGCGCGTCAGGGTTGCAAATCCAGTTGCGCGCTCGCTCTTCCCGCCCCTCCGTGGTTGACGTGAGAGACGGCGGTGGGGCTTGGACGTGAAAGATGGCAGCGCTGGCGGAGCCTCTGGGGCTGGAGAGGGGTAAGGAGCTCCGGAGGGCGGGCGGGCAGGTGACATCGTCTCTGGCGGCTGGCGGTGGTCGAAGAGGTTGCGGCGAGGATGCACGGAGTGGGAAAAGGTGATCCGGGGTTGCTCCAGACGGAGGAAGGCGGAGGAGTAACCTCAGGCTTCTTTATTTATTTAGTGCATGTTTTTTTTAAAATACCACCCCATAGTGAACAGGCACTCTCTGGGCGGTGTATAAACAGCCAGGATGATCAAATGTTGATTAGCCAGAGAAAAAAGGGGGGGATCGACACAGAAAGCTCGCCGCTTCCCGCGTGGGCTACCTAGGCGGCCGCGGGGAGGGCATGCGGGGTGGGTGGGGATGAGGTAACATTCATCCCCCCATCCGGCGGCAGATGGAGGGGAAGGCGAGCTTCCTGTCATCCTGCAGGATTTTGCTGCCCTGCAAAAGATGGAGGAGGCAGCGGCTGGTGCCTTGCCTCTCTCTCCCCGTTCTCCGTGCCTAGGCAGAAGATGGGCTGTTGAGGAGAGCTGAGCTGCCCTCAGGAAAGAGAGGGGGAAGCTGGATCCGACCCTTCCACGCGGTTGTTTTTTCTTCGGAGGTCCCCAGAATGGAGCATTAGGGAGCGGGGACCTTGAGCTTCCCTCCTTTTCTTCCCTCCACTCTCCCCCCACAACAACAACAACAACACACACACATTTCTTCTGCTCTGTTCTTCTTCCCTACAGATGTGGCCCGGGCGGTGGAACTGCTGGAGCGACTGCAACGCAGTGGGGAGGTGCCCCCTCAGAAACTCCAAGCCCTTCAGAGGGTGCTCCAGAGCAAATTCTGCTCTGCCATCCGAGAGGTGAGAGAAAGAAAGAGAGAGAGAGAGAGAGGGTCCTTTGCTGTGGTCTTCTTCTTCCTCCATTTCTAGCCTGATCCCTTTCTCTACCCAGTTTTCCTCACCTGGTCTGTCTCCTTCAGCTCCTCTCCATTCCCCTTTGAGCAGTGGTTCCCAGCCTTGGGTCCCCATATGTTTTTGGACTACAACTCCCAGAAGTCTTCACCATTGCTGTGTTGGCCTGGATTTCCAGGAGCTGTAGTCCAAGAACATCTGGGGACCCAAGGTTGGGAACCACTGTCTTTGAGCTTCCTATGTTTTTTCATTACTCCCTTCCCTACCTGCAATTCCTGGAAATGTTGCACATGTCGCACCAAGGCCCTCACATCCCTCTCCTCAAGGCCTCTCTCTTGCCTCCTGTCTCCTAGAAGGACCAGGCCTGCTATGAATAAGTGAGGCAGCAGATTCAGAGTTTTAAGAAGGGGCCACCAAATTGTTAATTCATTTCCTACTATTAGAGATGGAAAAAGTCACTGTTTTTGACCGCAATGGTTATGCTGACTGGGGCGTTCTGGAAACCTTTCCTCCAAGAAAATAAATGCTTTCCCGTCTCTGGTATTTACTGCCACGGATAGGTAGAGGTATTCATGGATTTCTAGCCTTGTGTGCTAGAATAATTTGTCTGTTTTTGGGTGCTCTGCATCTTGTCTTGGATGAGTGGGATGGTGTGTGTGTGTAATTTGCTGCTTCAAGTAGCAAAATGTATTAGGCTGTTCAGTTAATTTATATTCCTTGCAGTCTGTATTTATTTCCATGACATTCCTGTTTCTTTTTATTCTCCTTTTTGGGCCCATCTGTTTCCTCAGCCCAACCCTAATCTCGCCCCCACCCCCGCCTTTTGAGTATCCATATACCTCTTTGTTCCATTTTCTGTTGCCCCTTGATTCCATTGACCAAGACTGGGCAAAGTGTGGCTGTCTGGGTGTTGTTGGGAGTTTTATAGCCATCACATCCCAAGGTGCGCAACATTGAGAACTTCAGTGCAACAGCCATCTGGAGGGCTGTATCATCCCACCCACCACGCCCATAAAGCCATCTCCTTACGCTCTCTTTTGTCTCCTACGGACAGGTCTATGAGCAGCTGTATGACACGCTGGATATTTCAGGAAGTCCGGAAATTCGAGCCCATGCCACAGCTAAGGTATCAAAAGAACTCTCTTGCCATGATTCCTATGGTTTTTAGACAGGGGCAACTCTAAAGCTGAGTTGAGCATCTGTCTTAGATGCTGGGTAATAGGGTGAGGGTACCACAGTGACAACCTTCTAGCTGCATCCCAGAGTCTCTTGGGCTGTAGCTGTTTGTTGGACGACATAACCTGTACTGGAACTCCTAGCATTTTTGCCTTCAGTGTTGGTGGAAGGTGCTGTCCCATTTCCAGTGTGGAAGCAAGATTCAGCTATCTGTTCAGTCAATTCTGCATGTAGCTAGAGGGAGTGCATCTTGGCTTTTGTTTGCTTCAGGCAGCAAAATGTCTTTGGTTGGATTTCCATAGGAGAGACGCTTTACACATCTGCAGAAGAGAAGGTCTTTTTCTCTTGGAGCTTGGAACATCTTGCCAAGGATTTTCAAGTGATAACATTGTCTCTCTCTGCTCTCTGTGTTAGATATCTTCACCTGACAGATCATTATTGTATTCTGTTCTACTGTATTCATGATTGTATTCTGATTTGTGGTACTATATTTATATCAGCACAGTTTTATATATTACAGAGCCTGTAAAAATTACTTTTTAAATTATTAATTCATAGTTATGCTGGCTGGGAGATTTAGGAAGCTGTGATCCAAAAAGAGTCACTTTTACAAGCTCTTCTTTGTACGTAAGCTACCCTGGATCCATTTGGAAGAAAGGAAAAGTAGAAGAACTTTTGATAAAACATTTTTAAACAATTACATACATGAATGTCAGTGAAATGCATGGATGGGTAATTGTCAAGTGGGGCACCACTGTAATTGGTATTTTTTGTAACATGTATTTTATTTCTTTAGTTATGTTCAGTTTACTCACATAGTATCAGGAATGGACAGGTTGTATAAAATATTTCTAATAATACAGTTGTCATATTGTTTTCATTGCATATTGTATTAGGGTTTGGTTTGGTGCTGTGCTGTGCAGCACAGAGATACTTTACAGGGAAAGGCTGTATATAGATATTTCCAATCAGTAAATAATCATTGTTGGTGTATATTTTATCGTAGGTGGTCCGTGATAGTGAAGGGGAGTGTAAAGGTACTTCTAGTAAGTAAATTATGAAATGAGGGGCAGGTTAAAATTAAATGAGAATCACTGTAGGCACAGTCAGACCCTGGGAAAGTAATCATAAGAATATTTATTTATTTATTTATTTACTTATTTACTTACTTACTTACTTACAATATTTTTACCCCACCTTTCTCCTTAAAAAGGACCCATATAGCTTTCCTAGCTCTGGCTTTTTAAAAAGGGTTTGATGTCAGCTTATGTACCCTAACTAAAATTATAAATGCTTATCTAAAATCTATTTCTGCTTCTCCAGGCAACCGTAGCTGCTTTTGCTGCAAGTGAGGGCCATGCGCATCCACGGGTGGTGGAGCTGCCCAAGACAGATGAAGGCCTGGGCTTCAACATTATGGGGGGCAAGGAACAGAACTCTCCCATCTACATATCTCGCATCATCCCAGGGGGTGTGGCGGACCGCCATGGTGGACTCAAGCGTGGAGATCAGTTGCTGTCAGTCAATGGCGTGGTGGGTATGGGGACCGACCAGAGCGGGGGAGGCTTTCTGTAAGAGAAGGGGTAGATTTACCTTATAATTGTATTTGAGTGGGGAATGGATAGACCTATGATAGGACAGAATATTTGCATAGTCCATGATTCAAATACAGTACACTGGGGTCTCGACTTACAAACGGCTCGACATACGAACGTTTCGACTTACGGACTGCTCTCATAGGAATATATGGACTCGACTTACGAACTTAGATTCGAGTTACGAACTCTTTTTTTTCCTTTTTTTAAAAGCTAAGTCATCTTAGG